GAGACATGAAAACATTATTTACAGGTTACTTGCTGCTTGACTTGGATATCCTTTGTCCTCAAGTGTTCTCTTTGAGAATACTCACTGTATTACTAATTAAACTTCCTATCACTGCATTGCACATAATCCCCCCTCTCTCTTTACCCTGCCCTTTTTGTATGTATCTAACATGTCCATATTATTTTCAATTTGTTCAATGTTACCAGATTGCCAAAATGATGGCTGCTATTGCTGACAGCTTTAACAGTTGCAATACCACTTCCAAGAACCAAAATCACTTGACATTTTCCTTATGTAGCACAGGAATGGCAAGAACAACATTTGAGTTCTTTCTTACGTAAGAATTCATTTTTGGGGAAAAAACCCCCCAAGCTTTTGTGTCTTCATGACACATCTTAAAAGTAATTTCCCTAATTAGCTTATTTCATATTCATTATCTTCTTTTTTTGTGTGTGTTTGTGTTAGTTGCTTTTTAAAAGAACTTTAAATTGTTTACATACATTACATCATGACCACAGTTTCCTCTACCTCCACTCCTTCCAGCCAACCCTTTCCCCAAACCTCTCCTTTCCCTAGATCCATTCCTTCTCTATGGCATAACAAAGTACAATAAGACGAGGCATAAACCCTCTTATCAAGGTTGGACTAAGTGACCCAGTAGGAGGAAAAGGGTCCCAAGCACAAGAAAAAAGAGTCAGCTCCCACTCCTGCTGTTAGGGGTCCCACAAAAACACCAAGCTATACGACCATGACAGATATGCAGAGGACATAGTTCAGACCCATATAGGGTCCGTGCTTGTTGCTTCAGACTCTGTGAATCTCTGTAAGCCCTGCTTAGTTGATTCTCTGGGCTGTGTTCTAGTGGTGTCCTTGACCCCTCTGGCTTCTAGAATCCTTCCTCCTCCTCTTCTTGGGGTTCTCCCTGTCTTCACCTAGTGTTTGGCTGTAGGTCTCTGTATTTGCTTCTAACATTAGAAACATTTCATTGACTTTATTTTTTTAGCCAGTAAAATTTGATTCTATGCTGGGTCCTGGTCATCCATGCAGTGATAGGTATGGGCCTCAAGTCAGATCAGTCATTGGTTGGCCACATTGTGATGCAGGATGCATTGTAAGTTGAAGGTTTTGTGGCTGCGTTGATGTGCCAGTCCCACCGTTAGGAGCCTTACAGGGCAGCAGAGATGGCTCAGTTGTTAAGAGCACTGGCTGCTAAGATAGAGGATCAGGGTTCAGTTCCTAGATCCACATAGTGGCCTGCCTGTGACCCTAGTTCCAGGGAATCCAGAATTATCTTAATTTAAAGACTTAACATTGGCATGATAAGAACTGCTAAGCATATAGCAAACTTTTTGTTTTTGAAAAAGGGTAGCTAACAAAATTACTGAAAGGTGAAACGTCATCATAATTTCTTTTTTTGAAGGCACATGTAAAGATTGATAGAATTTCCAAAAGAATGCTCAGCAAAGAGCCTTCTTTTCACTGGAAGAGCAGCAGTGGTTAAAGGTGCAGGGTCCTGAGCACCTGTTCCACTTTTTACAGAATAAAGACATTGACAGGCTCTGAATCTTAGCTCTGTTATCTATTAAGAGCATAGCTCTGGAAAAAGTTATGGAAATTAGCATTTTCTCATGTATAAAATGGAGATAATAATGACTACCATATAAGGTTAAGATACAATGAAGCAAACAAAACAGAATCCTAAATAATCCAGAGTCCTTACAATTATTACAACTTTGTAAACAGAAGCCAGTGTGTTGCTGTTCTGTTAACTGTCCTATTAATTCTACATATTATGTATGCACTCTATTCTATTCCTGGAAAACCCACTTTCATTCTAGGTGAATTTATACATACAAGAAAGGCTCTCAATGAATCTCTGTGCCTCTCCACTGATTACGCTCAGAGAAACAACTGGCAGATGCTGATTGAGCAAAATCTGTTATAATCCAAGTGAAAAGTGTTTCTTCAGTAAAAAGGACTGTTTCAAAGTTCTGACCAACTCTTCAGTGTCCTCCACTAATCAGCACGAGAAGCAGCAGGAAAACTATGAAATACCAGTAGTAATTACTGATATAGAGGAATTAATACCAAGTATTCTCAAATCAAGAGGCTCTTGATATATAAAACAAAAAAAAATACTGACTTGAGAATTTCATTTGAAAGTTAGAGATGCCCACTCACTGGTTTGTCATGGTGAGAAGCTACGCTGCTGGCGTTGGCTCTGTGCTCCCATAGCATAAGCTTCTATGGCCAAACTGTAATGTGTCATAATTGCTAGGATAATATTCATGTGTCAACCAGGAGCCATTTCTTTTTTTATTATTATTATTTTTATTGGATATTTTATTTACATTTCAGATGTTCTCCCCTTACCCCATTTTCCTGCTCCTGCCCAGGAACCCCCTATCCCATCCCCCCTCCTCCTGCTTCTATGAGGATGTGCCCCCACTACACCCCCCCACTCCCACCTCCCCACCCTTGAATTCCCTTACACAAGGCTTCCAGCCTTCATGGGACCAAGGATCTCCTCTCCCACCTATACCTGACAGGACCATCCTCCCTTGCATATATAGCTGGAGCCATGGGTCCCTCCCTAAGTGCTCCCAGGCTGGTGGTTTAGACCCTGGGGGCTCTGGTTGGTTGGTATTGTTGCTCTCCTCATGGGGTCGCAAACCCTTTCAGCTCCTTCAGTCTTCTCTCATTGGGAACCCCATGATCAGTTCAATGGTTAGCTGTGAGCATCTGTCTCTGAATATGACAGACTCTTGCAGACCTCTAAGGAGACAGCTATGTCAGGCTCCTGTCAGCATGCACTTCCTGACATCCACATCAGTGTCTACCTTTGGTGACTGCACATGGGATGGACACCCAGGAATGGTCTGCAGACGGCCCCTACCAGGAGCCGTTTCTTATACAAAGGTTAGCATAAATTAAACATGCTGCATCCCTACATGAAAGTGTATTTGTAAGCTGCTCTTAGGATACTAAAATTTTAAAAATATTTTTAAAGTAAATATAGTCACCAATTTCCAACTTAAACAATATTTAACTTTTTGAATATAAACATAAACATCAAGTTTAAGGGGAAACTTACTGTATAATGTTTAATTAAAAATTAAAAACATCCTATCTCAAGGTATAAACAAATTTATTTATATTTTGTTTAAAACTGACATAATCATGACATTTAGAATGTGATCACTCCTTAAGAAGGATAAACAATGATTAATATTTTACTTATTATACTTAAACTTTTCAATTATAGAAAATAAATATATTGGGATTTCTTTTTTTTGGTGGAAGAGGAATTAAGATGCAACAAAGCAAAGAGACAGAACATCTTTTATTTTCTTAGCACCATCTGATGTATTATGCATTTATTTGAGTGTTGCCCTTCTCCCATCATGAGAATGTAGGCTATACAATGCAGAGATCATTTGTGTTGTGTGACTCAGTCCTGGGTTTTTGAACATGGGCTTCAAGCAAGCATTCTAATGAGTAACAGTACAATGCTGGAATCTCATCAATATTTATCTATTTCTTTCTTTCTTTAAATTATTCTAAAGAACAGGTTGGACAGCATATTTAGAAGAAAGCAGAGATGTCTTCTATAGTCACAATGAGTTAACAACAAATATGAGGGAAATCTGGGTTTGTTCTGGAAGCCTGTTTGTGCATGGGCTTACTTTTACTAACAGCAATGATTGACATCTTGACTCTGAGAAGCCCTCCTGTCTCAGACCCCTAAGTGTTGAGATTAAGAGCCAAGGTGCCTTGCTTAGAATAGATTTTTGAGGAAATTTGAAACTGATAATATTACAGATCATCTGTAAAACTTCAGAGAAGCACAAGAATTACAAGTACTAGGTACTCTGGAGGATGAAGGAAAGAAAGGGAACCTAGATAAGAATTTCCTACCCAGGTGACTACCTCCCCAGCATCCACAGAAAAGAGATGTATTTTGACTAGAGACATTGAGAGAATTTAAACTTTGGAATACCAAACACAGGGCAAAGTAGAGGTTGTGTGCAGATTTGAAAACAAGGCCCTTCAGCATTGTCTTCTGAAACCCCAGTCATATTCTGCCTAGCACAGGAATGTTGGCATTCAGTATCTACATTTTCCAGGTAAAAGGCTGGAGAATTCTTTAAATAAGGATGTGAACAATTTAAAACAGAAATCCCCTAAAACATACAGGCAGTGACATCTGGGTATTTCCAATAATGGATGGATCATCTAAAGGCCCTTTGTATACTCAAACTTGTCCACTTGAGATTTCTCTCTCTCTCCCCCTCCCCCCTCTCATGCACTCCCCACAACCACATGGGGGCTTAGGGGGTAGGAAAACAGGGAGAGAGAAAGCTAGAGGAATAAAATTTAAAAATACTTTATAAACAAGGGAGTAACTGCAGAAAAAGAAAGAACTATTTGATATTAAAACTATGATAGTCACCAAAAAGATTCTTTTACTGAAAGGGTTAGAAGATAATGTTGGTGAACTCTTATCAAAAGGGCCTGGAGATGTACAGCTTCTTGGGGGTGATGTGTTGGGTAAAGAAGTCAACTGTTCGTTCTGAACACTATTTGCTTTCCTATGTGCATATGTTACTTTGAAAATGATAGGAAATTTAAATAAAAGTATTATGGACGATATGGTATAGCAGGAGGAGCTCTGAGCAAGTAATAAAACTATTGTTTATTTACACCATGACTTTGGCTAAACTAAAGCCTTTATTTACTCACTAGAAGACTTTGCTTCTAAGTTTTGAAGGTTCTGATCCTATCAGAGTTGTTTTTTTAAACAAGAACAACAACAACAATAACAACAACAACAACAACAACAACACAGAAAACCCCAAAAAAGTAAAAAGAGAAGCTTTTCTTCATGTTCTCATGGATATCTATACATATTTTTTGGTCTCTTTGCTAAGAGTCTCCCTGTATTTGCTTTGGTGCTAAAATGGAACTCGCAGGCCCCCAACTTGGGAATCCTGTTATACCTGTGAGGCAAGTCTTCGCATGGCTTCCTCTTGTCGCCTGCGCATTTCTGGAGTTCCTGGGCAGCTTCCACTGGTAATAGATGAATGGGCTGAAGGTGCTTGGGTGAGTGGTAGCTCTCTGTTGGCGTCCACATCTGAATTAAAAAGATTTGATGTTTAATCAGAAAATCATAAAACTCTAGACCAGTGGGTCTCAACCTTCCTAATGCTGCAACCCTTTAATACAGTTCCTCCTGTTGTGGTGATCCCCAACTATAACATTATTTTTGCTGCCACTTTATAACTGCAATTTTCTACTGTTATTATGAATCATAATGTAAATATCAGTTTTCTGATTGTGTTAGGTGACTCCTGTGAAAGGATTGTTTGACCCTCAAAGGGTCGTGATCCACAGGTTGAGAACCACTGCTCTATAGACTGAAGGAATATTAAATTCCATATTGTTCTGTGACCTAGCAATTCTATTTCTGACTAAATAACCCAAGTGAAGTAAAAAAAAAAAAACCCACATGTCTAAATAGAAACATATCACTGTCCAGAAGAGGATGACTTATAACAGAAAGTAAAAGCAAGTCAGGTGTCTTATCACTTATTGAATGGGTGAAATGTGCTATCTCCATACGATGGACTGCTACTTCATAATGAAAGAAAATGAGATATACACACATGCTACAACACAGATGATAGCACACCAGCTCCCAACATTTCAAGTATGTGTTTCTATTTACATAAAATGCTCAGATGGAGAAATCCATACTGATAGGTAAAGTAGGGGCTTTCTGGGGCAGAAAATAGGGAGTTTGAAGGAAAGCAGGGATTTACTACTGAGAGACAAAAGTTTCTTTCAGTGGGGGTCAATGTTCTAAAATTAAGTTATGGTGACTGTGATACAACCTTTGAATGTATTAAAAATGCATAGCCGATCATTTTACTTTGAGAGTGAGCGTTACCATGCCGGCAGATTATATATACAGTATAGGCTCACATGGAACTTAAAGCAATTGTCCCCGCTTCCACTCCGTGTCCTGGGACCATAGGCATGAGATTTGATGCTCATATTATATTGATTTGTTTATTTATTTACTCACTTATTTAAGGCTAATTCCTACTTTGTTGTTCAGATTGGTCTCTATTCTTTCTTGATCTTCCTGCTCTGCCTCCTGTGTGCTGGGATTACAGTGTATACCACACCCAGCTTGGAATTGAGCATTTTAAGTGGATAAATTAAGATTAAAAAAAAAAAAGAAAAGAATCAACTTTAAAAATTTTCACTGTTTCCTGCTAGTGGCAAGACCTATCTTTGGATTGAACACTGACTTCTGAGTCACAGAACTGTAATGTACAAGGGCTGTTTGAAACATGGTGATGTATTTATGCTGCCACTGAAAAGTACATGGAGGCCAAGTTTCAAGTGGTGTAATAAAGTTTTAGAAGATGAAAAATGCATTCATTATCTATTAGAAATGAAAGAACCAAACAGGTAAGAGAATATTTTAAAAACAGGCACACACACACACAAGCAAAAACTTATTTAAAGTTATTTGGTAAAAGAAGGAATAGAAGTAGTCATCACTTAATTGTTTACCAGTAAAAATAAAGTGAGATTTCTTCCATTCACCTGTGATGGAGTAGATTTCTTGGTCACACTGCAATAATTGCAAGGCTGAGGGTAGAGAGATGGCAGTGAGGCAGGTCTGAAGAAATGTGTGACACTTTGAGTTGAGTTAAAGTTTAGTGACTATTACACATATACACTGGTTTACTCTTGTCCATGGATCTATGCTCCTTTGGAATTTGATTTCTGAGTAACTACTGTATAAATACTCTGTCTTCTGGCTATTCTCTTTTGGAGAGGCCCTCCTTTTTGTCTGAGTGGCTTACTTTCTGTTTGGCATTCAGAGAACAGAAGAAATAAAAGTTAAGAGATAAGCACAAGTCAGTGTATTCAACAAACTAGCAAAATAGACTTCTGAAAGGAGCAGAGCAGGGATCACTTAACTGAGCAGCTGTGTGGAGGTTTGGCAGCTGCTGACAAATGTCAAATTCAGGTAACTACATCAGGACCTCCAGTAATGGAAATACAGTCACGTATCAGAACTTCCCTACTTACCATACCAGTCTACCTGTAACGGGTGCAATAATATCTGAATTATAGAAGAGGTCTATTTTTACAAAATGTTTTTGTTCTTTGTGTGTGCTGGGGGTGATGAAGGAAGAGAATGATGGGAGAGTCCTATCTGTGAAAGTGGGCGGAAAGCAAGATGACAGGTTAGTGTCTGCCTTCACAGTTTTTCTCTACCTTCTAAGGGAAATGACAAGGAGGAAGCAGGCTGTGGAGCTGACTGTGGGGGAAGGAGAGCTATGCAGTGAAGGACTGCAGCCTAACGGCTCACATCTCTTGCAGCAGTACTGCTCAGTATGGAGAAGAAGGAACAACAGATGATACACAGAGATAAGTAAAAAAAAAAACCCTCTGCAACTTTGCAGTTTTTCATTATTACAACTGTATCATGGTATCATTGCCCGAGGGTTCAGAAAGCCAGTGGGATTCTAAATAAACCTACTCAAGTTTAATATACATTAATTGGTAGAAAAGTAGGCCAAATCTCTGACCTCATTCCTTAACCAAAGAACTTCTGCTGCTTCTGGCACTATTTGTAGTGTCAGCTCATATAGTAACAGATTCATGCTGAAGAATAACTTGTGGACTGGAGAGATGGGTAGGTGGTTAAGGGACTTGTTCTGACAGAGGACGCAGGACTGAGGACCCATGACCCAGGATCAGTTCCTAGCACCCACATGGCAGTTCACAACCATCTGTAACTCTAGTTCAAGGGGATATGATGTACTTATCTGAAATTAGTGGGTACCAAGCACAGATGTGGTACACATACATACATGTAGGCAAAACACAATATATATATAAATAAGAAAAAAATAGTGTGCATTCTGTTAGTAAAATATCCTTGACTCTTCTTTAAGAAACACAGGTTTGTTGAGGATGGCAGAAGCAGAAGGTAGTTTGACCACCAACAGATTATAACGAAAATTTTGCATAAGGCAATGCTGGTTCTTTGCAGCTCTGACAGATAGTGCTGTCTGGTCTATCTTTTCCTATTCCTTTCTCTAGTCTCGGAAGTTAACTAAAGGGCCAGATCTAAGCACCAACAATGGAGATTATCTTAAGTGGAGAGTGTTTCATTGTTTTCAGAGATTCCCAAGAGATAAAAGGCAACAGTATTAGAGAAGTATAACCAACTACATTTGGAAAATCTGCTTTGAGAGCATATAGACTATTTTCTATTTATTTTTTCTCCCCCAGGCTTATGTGCAGACCTCAGATACTTTGCTTTTAGACAAAACAACTACGCTTGGCTTTGGGATTTATCTTCTGTCAGGAATGATCCTGCCACTGCTATCTTCCACACTGATACACTGAGGAGTCAGAGAAAGTGTGAGCCAGCGTTTTCTTTCTGGCATACCCAAACAGCTTAACTCCTGAACTACTCAGATAAGCAGTAGTATGGCATGATAGTTAAGAATTTGAAAGAAAATACTGGAATAGGTGTGAAAATTCACTGCAAACCATGAAGGCATGTTCTCTGAGTCAGCATCTCAGCACAGAAGCTATTCTAAGACCCCTCTTCTTCATTATTGCTGTCATCTACTCTCTAAAGGACTGAACACTCCCTTTCAGGCACAGAGAACAAGTACTGTCACTGAGCTACAGCCTCATCCCTACAGCTGTTCTCAACAATCAGCTAGTTACACTTTCTTTTGCCGACGATAAAACTGAGATCCAAAGAATTAATGCAAAGTTAAGGTTACAAAGTGCCATGTGGTCAATTTACATGCTGTGGCACAATCTCAAGTCTTGGCTTTCACAGGACTATGCCTATGTTTACTTTAGAAGCACTTCATTTAGGAACATGAGCAAGGTACTCTTAAAATGAGAGTTCACTATATAATTGTATTCAGTAAGTTTTCTTTTTAGACACCAGCTCCTTTCATATATTAGGTATTCTTAAGTATACAATCATTTCTTTGATATAGAACTTGCTAAGCAATTTCAAAAGGAAAATGTTTGGACAATATTCAGTGAGTTCCTGTCAGGTTTCTACACCCTGAGATTACCACAGTCTCACACAGATCATTTCTAGTGGTTGTTGTATGAAATGTGTGGTGGGCTATGTTACTAATTTAATTTGGACCAGTAGAGCAAAACCTTCCTTTTCCGTTCTCAAGGAGAGTCAGACTGGTTTATACAGGAAGAACTCTTACACACATCCATTTATTTTCTTTCCTCTAATAAGTTTTACCATAAGAAAAGTCAGTCTAGGAATAGCTTTTGAAACCAGGCTGCTTTGCTTCCCTATTTATGGGCTGTAAAAACCCTGGGAGTCTTGGATCACTTATCTGTGAAATGAAGACAGCAGGATCCACCACACTGAGTTGATGAACGACTGAATAAATTAATATCTGTAAACCCCTTAAAGACTATGTGACATATAATACTATGTGAACGTTTTATTGACAAGTTCTCAAGACTGCAGTGATGACTGACCACTGAGTCGAAAGAGACCGACTACACAGGAGAACTTTGCACAAGAAAGTAGAAAGAAACCTTTCAAGATATAGCCAAGCTCAGGTTTAAGCTGTGTGGCACTGATATTAGATACAAAGAAAGGAAGGCCTCAGACTGTGCTGTCACTTAACAAGAAGTGGGCACAGGCTGAGTAACATCTGACAGTGACAGGTACAAATGACTCTACAGGAATTGCTGGAGTCACTATCCAAAAGACAGATCAGCCACACAGCCAACAGGTAAGCATCAAATTTATTCTATAAAAAGACTATGCTTCTGGTGACTGTTGGATGTGTGGGTTAGATATACACAGAGTATTAGGATGTTTCTCTGCACCATGGTCCTCACATGGTTCAGGCTTCACAGAATAGGAATAAAAGCATAAGTGGCCTAATATAAAAATGTCAGAAAATATTTTAGGGATACAGAACAGGCAGTTTTGTATGTTTGTAAGAAGGGATACGTACGTTTGGGAGAGGCGTGTGGGCTGTCAGAGGCGATCTGTCTCATCCGTGTACCATGGCAGCTGAGAGCTACCAGTCTGGAGATGATGGCAGTTTTGCCGAACCCAATGTTTCCCACAATCACTACTCCTTGGTTCACGCTGGCATTGGAACTCTGAAGCTGAGCATCAATCTCATGGAATACCCAATCTCGACCAACAAACACTGACTCTGTGGTAATGCTGGGCACTTCAAAGAGTAGGGGCTTCAGGGAGATGTCTGGAGGTCTATAAGGTGCAAAGCGAACTGGAAGGAACAACAAGAGATAACAGAACTTAGTTTAAACAGTCATCATTGAGAGAAACAGGGGAAAGACAGTTTAAGACTGTTAGAGTTACAGAATGATGGCATTTGGGCTTTTCAGGAATAACAAATAAACAATGCAGGTATGCTAGAGCCATCAGATACCACAGAGGGCAGAGCACACAGACACAAAATAATAAAACACAAATAACTCACGTAAGTAAGAAAGTCAGGACAGTCTTATAAAATTGTTAAACAACAGGAATGGTCCCCCACATCAACAATCAGCAGGGATGCAAGAGAAGTGGAAGGGTCCTAAAGAATGCTTCTGGACCCAGGGAGATAAATCTTGAAATGCTGGATATGGGGAAAGGGAGGTAGGTCTTCAGGAGAGGCTGGGCTACCACTGAGCAACCTGATAGCTCCTTACTAACCATTAAGTACATTTAACATTTAATAACCAATATGGTTGAAGCAGAAGGTAAGTTGAAAATTAGTCCCATAGAAAAGCATTGCAAAGTAAATAGGCTTGTTTAGTTCTTAAAAAAAAGAAAAGAACAGTAAGCCCCTTAGAATATGACACTTTGTTTTTAATATAACATATACTGCACTAATCCTGTTATGCTTGTCATATTTACTTATTACATATATATGTATGAATATATATAGATGATGTGTTCAAGTCTTTGTCTTTTAAAAGGCAAAAGACTTATGCACTGCTTTTAATTATGCTCTTAATTTGAAGTATGATATACAAACATCTATTTTTCCTCTCTCCGAAGTTAATAACTTATTCCTCTGACAGTTAAAATTATCACTAATCTGATATGCTTATTTGATGTTACTTATATTGGGTCCATTTCAGAGTCACAGAGTTTGTTCTACTTAAGTCTGTTTCTGTGTTCATGCTAAACTGATTTAGTTGTTATATACTATGTGATAATAAAGCCTACCATTATTTTTTTTAGATTAAAAAATAAAGCTCCAAAAATAATTCCAGAACTAATTTGAAGATTATCTCAAGAAGGTTTGTTCATTCCATTTATTTAGTTACAACTGCAACCCAGGAATATTCCATTCAAAAATTTCACCAGAATAGATTTTATTCTTAGTATTAAAGATATGTATGTCTATGCATGTGCTCCTGCATGAGTTTATGCACCACATGTGTACAGGTGTCCTCCCTCGGAGGCCAGAGGGTGTTAGATCCCCGAGAGCTGCAGCTAACAGCAGTTGTGTGCTGCCTGATGTTGAGTGCTAGGAAGTGAACCTGAGTCCTCTGCAAACACAGGAAGCATTGTTAACTACTGGGCCATCTCTCCAGCTCTCTCGAGTCTATAACCATAATATATCTTCAGTAAACAGAGGTACAGAATTTGTTTTAGAAGATTATACATTATATATTTGAAAGTGATGTTTAAATTTCAGTGTTATCTAAAAAACACTAGATAAAGGCTGGGGAGGTGGCTTTACTGGTCTCAGTTTTAGTGGTAGAATTATTGTTCAACTTGTAGGCAAATAAATAGTAATACTTATTAAATGCCACTTTGACATTAAGATTCTGTTAAAGAAATAATTCAGATCACACACACTATCACATTCTTGGTTGCATGTATGATGTCAGATTATATAGATATTAAAATATTAAATAATACAAAATTTGCAAAATTATGAAAGTATATATTTATGATATAAAATAGTATACATGTTGTTATTACATTTAAAGTATATCCAATGGAAGATAATATACACAACAAAACATAGTCAATGGCATCTTTGATATAATTTTCTAAAACTTAACTTTTCTATATGAATATAATTATATTAAAAAGAACTAAGGCTTGGGAGATGAAGCTATCAGGGTGCCTGCTACACAAGATGAGGACCTTAGTTTGGATCTGTAGGATCCAGGTAGAAGTCGGGTGCTATGGCATGCTTTTATAACCCTGGAGCTAAGGAAAAGAAGGCAACTGAATCCCTGGAGCTAACTGGTTAGCTGGTTAGCTGGTTTAGACAAACAGAAAAACTCTACATTCAGTGAGAGACCTTGCCTAAAACCGAACAAAGCAAGTGGAGAGTACTTGAGGAAGACAGGTGATATCGACTTCTTACTCTCACGTGAACAGGGATACTCCAACACTCATATACTCCAAACACAAACACTTTTAAAAAGCCTAAACCTGAACTGCAATCTTACAGGTAGGTAAAGAGAATATTTTATCATTTCTTTCATTATGGGATGTTGTAACTCAATCAAACAATCAAATGAACAGTTAATTGAACAAGCAAATTTATACTTTTGGGTGTTTTTCTACTATAATCATTATGTATACATATAAAAATATATATTTACTAGGATTTTAAAATTTTTATGATTTTTAGCTACAAATTGCATATTCCTAATCAAAAATAGAAATCTGAAATGACCAAAAATTTGATCTGGTCCTAAGCGTTTTGGGTAAGAGATATTTGACCTGTGTTATAGAATGATTAAAATATAAAATCAGCTTTTTCTCTCAGGATGTTTTGAATGTCAGGTTAAGTAATGGTTTACACCTCTCTTATGGCAATGGCTCACTGAAGTGGATCTAACACAAGGATAACTTCACTAAGGAAAAGCAAAGAGATCCTGAAGACTTCTCACTGTAGAAGTCCTGAAAGTGCTAAGAAGGCATGAAGCAGGGAGATGCCAAAAGCTTAGTTATAATTGTAAAGGGAAAATAAATCTTGAGATTTTTCTTGTTTCAAATCTAAGGGCTTATGGAAGTGAGAAGAACTCAAATCTTGGTGCAAAATGAGATTTTTATCACTATGTAGAAATAGTTTTCTTACTTCAAAGTCTTATCTCCTAAATATAAGCTGGAATCAAAGTTTCAACATGTAGGGAGAAGGAATTAAAACTTGAGATACACTGGTGTATGCTCAAATTTAATTTTAACTAAAGCAAATGATACTGTCTGCAGAATTAATCTCTACAGAAAAAAATCAAAGAACTGTACCACATTCTGTATTGATTATGTGACATTTTTATACCCATCTAAGCACTGCACTGAGTTTGAACTCTACAGAGCATCAAAATCTAATAGAATCCTATACTTATTTCCTAAAGTTACATAGGCTATTGGGATGAGGCATATGTGTAGGATTAGGTCTGAATTTGTCTAAGACAAATAGGCTGAAAGTTAATGTCATGTTAAATTAAGGACAGAGATGCTTATATAAGTTGCCATAAGTACTTACTCACATAGGAAAGGCCAGGAGCCTGAAAAGGGGTAGAGTTCACAAGATCTGCATTAACAAAGCAGAGGTGGCAAAAGACAGTTTTCTCACTTGATATTTGTAGCTGAGAGTAGAATGACCAGTGTTGGTACTGGAGCTGTCTGATAACACAAAGGACCATGCAACTCCTTACATAAGAGTCTTCAGTGGTCCTCTACTTCTTCTCATGGCACACCAGGCTCTGGATGATCTGGATCCTGCCTAATAATATGTGATCTCTAGGCCCAAGCTATTCTGGACTTCTGGTTCCACCTGCTGTTCTGACTACTTAGGAAGTTCCTTCTCTGACTATTCACCTGGTAAACTCATTGTTATTCTTCAGGTTTCACCTTAAATATTACTCTGTCAGAGAGGCTTCCTTTGATAACTTTATAGAGTTTGTTTCTCTACCTCCATCATTTTATTTATGCAAAAGGCTTTTTATCAGAGATAACAGACATATTTGTTTCAATTAGTAAATTCTCAAAATGTCATTTTATTTTCTTTTCTCACATTGTAATCTAATAGAACAGTTTATTTTGCTTGTTGGTTCCTTATTTATTCTCGTTTCCTTAATTATAGTGTAAGCTCTATGAAGGCAGGAGCCATCACTGTATCAACAGCAGACACAGAATCTGAGGTTTTCAGTAAAGCATCAATAAATGCTTTTTGGGTGAATGAATAATGAAGAAGGGACCTACTCCAGGGAATCTTATGGGATAGATTTTCATATATTAGAAGAGAAGAGGAAAGTGTTTTGTCACTGTACTGGAGCCCACACATGTCTTCAGAATGTAATTAAAATGAAAGTTCCTGTTATTTAAGAATCAAACTTTCCCTAGCAATCTCAATCTGTCTCTTAAGTCTTGAGTAGTTTTTCTTTGAAAGAGTTCTTCCCCAGTCACCTCTGCTGACTTCTAAGTGTTCTCAAACCCTCCCTCAGGCATTCCCTGTTAATTCTTCAGTTTTGGACCTGGCTTCTCTAATTTCACTGACTGCCTCAGGCATCTCATATTGAATATTCTACCAGACCAATTTTGATTACAATGATTACATTATTCCTTCTATGATCTCCAATGGCTCTTTCTGCCATGTTAAATCTAAAAATCCTCACCAGATTCTCAGGGCTTTCTGTAATGTAACTCAACTCTTAATTACTCTTTCCTCCCTCCTTCCCTCCCTCTGTTCTTCCCTCCCTCCCTCTCTTCCTCCCTTACTCTCTTGCTCTTGCTTACTCTTTCTCTTTCTCCCTCCCCCCTCCTCACATATAGGCTGCAATCCCCCTTCCTCAGCCTCATTTCTAGCTTATGCAGTACTAGAGATCAAACCCACAGCTTCATGCATCTAGGCAAACAATACTAACCGAGCTGCTTTCCCAGGCCTCTTTAGTTTAAGTCCATTGCTTCCTTTAGCTCATAGTGCATGCTTAGTTCAGCTGATTTCAAGTCTTTGTCTGGCTAAGTCTCATGTCTCAGATTCTTCAGGGTAATTTTTGTCAGTTTACTTTTTCTGATAAATAAAAAGGTTCAATATTTTTATATATTCTATATTTTTGAGGGGAATTTCATTTTGAATATTATTATGTGGTAAGCAGAGACTTTGAATTATTCCTCTGAAGGCTTGCTGTTGTTTTGATAATGTCGTTCTTTCATGTGCTGTTTCCAAAGTAGCTATAGTCATTATTTTGAGACAAGGAATATATTGTGCATACTGGTCTTAAACTCCTGGCTCCAGGCGTGCTGTCT